AATATATCCTATAATAATATCGTGTAATGGGTTAGTAGATAAGTACTTACCTCGCAATCTTAAGGCTATCGGCATGCATACGCAACCCGAAGCAAATTGTAGCAATCTCACAAAAAGCTGTCATTCTGGCAACCTGTCACACCGTGAGACTTATACTGGCAACAGAACAAATCAAAATGCACAAACAGAACAAAATGCTGTGAAAAAATAATAATAATAAAGTCTTTATTAAAAAAAAGTACAATTTAAATTATTACTAATATCAATATATAAAAGTATTGAGGGGTTGGAGATCACCCGGCTGCGCGAAGTCTAGCCTAAATGGCTACTCTAACTCAACGCTCGGGCGATCCGTGCACCTCAAGAAGGAAAAAACAAAGTTTTTATTCTTAGATTATATAAACGCTGAAACAAATAAAAAATAAACGGCCAAATTATGATGCACATTATAAAAAGTGAGTTACTCGGGATTGAGGGGAAGATGCAGAGGTATTGTAAATTTTGTTCAGAGGGCTGTCAATTATTGCCCTTTTATCAAGTCATCAAAGGCTCCAACTAAGCCCAATCAATATTCGTTTCAGTCATCAACCTGTTGACTAAGCAGCAATGAACGATACTTATACTTAAATTTGTTGATATTATATAACTTAAATTCGTCCGGCAGTGAATTATATAACTTGATAGCGTTATAGGAAAATCCTCGTTTAAACATGGCTGTCCGATAACGTGGCAGAGATAATTTATTTGTATATCGAATGTTTCGATCATGTCTACTCCTTCTACGACTGAACTTATTTTTTAATACATGTGAAAAATTATTGGTTTGAAGGAGCGCATGAACAAAATTACCAAGATGATGGAGACGGCGATTTTTCATAGTCAGCCAATTAATTTCATTAATCCTCTCTGAAATGTGTTCATATTTACCAATCGAGAAAATGAGTCCGCAGCATGCGTTTTGAATTTTCTGTATACGATAAGCATCATGTAAGTAGGGACCATAGAGAAAGTCACAATACGTGGGACAACACGAGACTCTCACAAAGCATTTTTTTTAATTTACTATTTAATATAAATCTATTATTGTATATAAGTTTTAGAGACCCAAACGCTTTTTTAACAAGCTCTTTGATGTATGATGCGAAGCGCAAGTCTTCATCAAATATGAGGCCCAAATTTTTTGCAGATTCACTGAATTGAAGAGAAGTGTTACTAATTTTAATATCTAAATTATTTTTTTTAATATAGGTGCGCTTGTTTTTAGAAGCAAAACATATAACTTTGGATTTGGCAGCATTGAGATTTAAGTTATGTTATGAAAGAGATCTGATATTTTCTAAATCTGTATTAATTTTAGTTGACACCTGCAAATGTTCTTTTTCGTCAAATGAAAAAAATAATTGTGTGTCGTCTGCATACGCCTGTATTTTACTATGGGTCAAAGAGGTTAAGATTTTAGCTGTATACATCATAAAAAGTAGCGGTCACAGTACTGAGCCCTGCAGTACTCCCGAGAGGATTCGAATAGTCTTTGATTCATTGTTATTGCAGAGAACTTTCTTATATCTGTCGGAGAGAAAAGATTTTATCAGCGAAAGACTTTATGAGTTTTCATTAAATCCATAATATTTGAGTTTTGCGTATAGCAGTTCCTGATTTAGCGTATCGAATGCCTTTGAAAAGTCTAGCAATACTAGTACGCTGGATAGACCCTGATCAGAGGAGCAAATAATGTCAAGAACGGTGGTAAGAGCTGTTGCAGTACTATAATTTTTTCTGAAGCCACACTGGTTGTTTGGTATTAAGCCGTTTGAATTAAAGTACTCAAACATTTGACTATGGAGAATCCTCTCTAATATTTTTGAAATAGCTGGCAGAATGCTTATTATACGTAGATCGGAGATCTTGTTTGGATTTTTAATTTTAGGGAGCGGCAAGCCAATAGCAGCCTTCCATGCATCAGGGAAATAACTTTTCTCAATGCAACAGTTAATAATGTGTAATATTACAGTCTCTATAGTTTCAACATATGTGCTGATCTACCGTCAGTTCTGTACGCCTTGGTTTTTATGTTAAATAACCCGTTACGTATATCTTCAATTGTAGCTAGGGAAAAACTAAATTTGAAATTAGTGTTAAAAGAATTTGTGTTACAAAAAAAAATTTGATTTTTACATTTATCATTAGTATTTTGTAGAAAATCTGCAAAGTAATTGTTAATATTATCAGAATTAGATAGATTAATAAATAACTTTAGAAAAAAACACACCCCTTTAACCGTTTTTAAGTTTAATTAGAAATAACGACAATTAAATCTTATAGAATTACACTTTCGGTACTAGCATACATTTTATTACATCTTTACTTAATAACTGTAATAACGAACACATAAAACGTGTGTTTTAAGTATTATGAATTGTTTTTGCTTGATTTTACACGTGTCTCACATTGTCAGATGAAATTTGAAGACACAAGTCAGTAATCTCTATCCAATGTTTATTTTTCTGAGGGTTTGTTTCTATTAAAATAATGTGGTTGGGATTCAAAGTTTCCTACCTATATATATATCCTTGTGGTATTGCAATTTTTCAAATAATTTCGATTCTTTGTTAATTTTAAAATACCCTATATTTAAATTTATTTCTTTTTTTATTTTTTACTTTAATTTTATTAATTTTTCTTTGTATTCCTCAAAGTTACTTCGAAATGGTGGAGAACTACGTTCCATTTCAGGATGATTATTAACTAATTAACATCTAGAGCCAGCTATAACAATAAAACTGTCCCATGCTTGATTGTCCCTAGGGTATAAGTTAATTAAATTATAGCGAAACTTAGCTTTAACTATGCACATATGCATACATCTTTTAGCTCGATTAATACTAAGCGCGAATAACATAGTGACATGGGTATAATTTAATAAACTTTATATCGTATATTTGTCGTCTTAGAAATTGAGGACCTTAGAAGTCAAGGGATACAAGTGCATTTTTTTAAGTTTGGAGATAACCGATTTCAAAATTTGGCTATTGATCTAAATTAAGAAATTAGTTTTAGCTTGTTGACACTTAGCCTATATTTATTTCATTGATATGTCTTTTTATTGTTATGATTTAGTTAGTCACAATTTTTATCAAAAATATTGTACAAAAGGAATTTGTTTACGATGTTGCACTTGTACCCATTGTCTTCTAAAAAAAAATTGATCAATTTGATCTATATTTAGTGCACCTCAGACGTCATGCGTCAGAGAAAATCCAGCTAGGTAAATGAAAAATCTTTGATTTATGTGATTATTTACACGTACAAATACAAAAATTAGTCGCTATCTGTCTCATACAGGGTGTCAGGCTCATTAGAATTCAATTCTTCTGGTATAATGCGCTGTTCGTTTGTTAAATTCGGACGTTCATTTTGTGGACATGGCAAATGTTTGTAAAAGTCGTGGTAGACTGGCGGCACAAATTGGAGTAGTTCCGTCAGATTTGTATATTTTGCTTGTTTCAACTAAGGCTTTTTTGTTTCCGTGGAAAGATCTTTTAAAGTGCATGGTTTTCCCTTAAGACTAAACTTCATATTATAAGTTTCAAAGTCACTGATGCTTGAGCTTCTTAAATTTAAAAAAAAATAAAGTGTCTGGATATTATTTCTCAAATCGCAGCCAGTGCATGGTCCTTATACCAGGAACAGTGTTTTTGAAATAGGTTTTCAATGTATCGACATTAATAAAATCGTTGTCCTTCATCCTAACACACATAAAGTTTGAACTTGTTTTAGCAATCAGTTCTTCCCAGTGCTCTGGTATAAAAAAGTCCTTGTTAGTTTTTTTCTTCCTCATCTCAATAAGGCCAAACTTTTTATCGGATTCATTAAACGAATGGCCAGAAATAAAAAATCTGTGATCCACGGTTTTTATATGCGTCTTATTGATAATATAGAGCCAAAACTGAACAATAATTTTACTCTTATTTTGACCTCCGCAATTATCACTGAAAGCCGTAATATGCGTTACATGTTCTGGTAAAGGTTGTATGAATTTCAAAAGACAAGATGCTATTTCCTGGAATCCTCTCGACGCCTGACCCCCACGCTATGTAAACATGTATGCCACGCCAGTTTTAACATTATGGATGCAGAAATTATAGTCCATAACTGGCGCAGATAGTAGGTATGCTTTAGATGTGTGAACTGCGGGTGTCTGTAACATTTTTTGCAAATCGATGCAAATTACAACATGCGTTTCATCCTCAACCTCTCTAAAACTGTTTTTAGCAGTTATTACAGCTAATAACTCCTTCTCAGTATTCGTTTTTTTCTTGCTTCTTCTTCGCCGTGTTTCATGACAATTTGCAATTTATCACAAACATCGCACGTATCGGTTAATGGTCTATGGAAACCCAAATTAAATTGGGTATTAAAAATAAGCCTATAAAAGCTCTCCTTTTCCGGTTGGACATTTTTTTTCTACACAATATTCCTGATACAACTTGTAGATTTTAGTGACGGTGAGGCCATGGCTCAAATATTTTTTATTTGGATCCTTGTGACGAGAGCAGTGACTAACATACCTGGGAAATTTGTTAATTTGTTCTTTTATAAGATCAACTTTATCTTGAGATATTTCGTTCTCAGGCATTCGTTTGCCTCTTTTTTCTCTTGGGGACACGCCAGTTGGAATATCTATTTTTTTAGTGACTAATACTTGGATGCGTTTGTTTGAAACATCAAGCGTTTAAAAAAATCCTTGCAAACTCTGTGACCTAATAACTTGTATACACATGAAACATTCTTGGCATATGCTCCATTTTCCTTTTTTCTCTGCACTGGTTGCAAGTCAATTTTTCCCTTGAGGTATGCCGTCTGTAATTCCTAGTGATGGGATCACACGAGCGAAAATTCGCTCGAGTACTCGATTATTGAAATAACCGACATCGCTCGATTATGAACGAGTGACGCAAGTGACGAGTACCAAGCGACGAACGCAAGCGATCCTAGAATGAAATAAAGGGATGGCGTAAAAATCCTAATGTGAATTTTTCCTACTGCGCGTGATTTCTAATTCTCGCCCGACCTACTCGGTTCGGCCGTCATCGGCATGGATCGAAATCCTTGAGATGTACATTCTACATGAAATGAAGGAAAAAAAACGTGTTAAATTTGTCAACGTCGCTCCTCGCAACGTCGCTCCTCGCAAGAGTTGAGACCACAGTCAGAGTACCTATACCGACGAAGAAGATCCGAAGCGATCTACGTACTCTGCCACAGTTGAGACTCGAAAAGTTAGAGGCTGGCCAGGTGCTCCATACGTTAAGTTAGAAAGGTAAATGTCCCAAATTCAGACACTTTAAGAATAGCCGGCGTATTGTAACATGGCCCTAGACATTATATATTGTTTCAAATGAAAGCTTTATGGATTTCTATATATTTTGAAGCTTTTTAATCTTGGTATTAAATACAACATGCTCAAAATATAACTACAAAAAGATTATTTTGTTTATTTGGTAATCTATGTCAGCACACCTAAATCCGACATAGCAAACAGGAGTTTGTACCTAAATTTGACATGCCTATGGCCATTATTTCGACAGCGTTCCCAAATTCGACAGTTTAAGAACATTAAACCAACAGTTTCAAAAACAAACTTTTATTAAACAAAAAAGTACTTCATGATAATTTAAAATAGGTACTTAAGTATATCATTGAAATATTTAAAATCAAAACCTATTAGAAAAGGAATGCATGACAATTCAAACAAAATCATTTCTCAAAACAGAAAACCTTAACAGAGATCGCATTTAAAATATGCAGTAGCAACTTCAGTATAGTTCTTATTTTCAGCATTAATACACTTAAAGTGAAACCAATTAGGGCAGTTGTCACATCCTATATGTCTTACTTCCTCCTCTTCATCTAAATCACTATTCAATTCTTCACTACAATTCCTACATTTCTCTTTAACCGAGTTTAAGTTGTTTCTTTGTTCTCTTTCAGATCCATTATTTTCAATGTTAGCTTTTGTATTTTTCTTGGTCCTTTTTTTCCTAATTGTGGTATTTGTCTTCCTTTCTTCTTCACGCAAAATCTTATTTTCTTGACGCTTTCTTTTACGGTCCTCTTTTTCCTCAATAGCTTTTTTCTGAAGATTTTCTTTCTTAATATAATATTCTCTCCAGGCATCTGAGGTTCCTACAGACGGAATTTTCACTTTCCTCTTAATGTTAGTTTTTTTGGTACTGGAAGGTTCCGGCCAAAAAAGTGATGTTTTAAAGGGAGTGGGAATTGATACATCTGGGAGAATATTTGAAAAAGAATCGTTCTGTTCTGACAAACTACCTCTATTTTTCTCCGGAGTTACTTCATCTTCATCTGGTATTTTTTTCTTACTTATTTCCGAGCTTAGTTCCTTCAATTGAACATCATACTGATTCTCTAATAAACGATCTCCATTTATATATGGCGTTGTTTTATTTGCCTGTTGATTTTCTGTTACATTTTCCTCACTAATTTGAACTTGCTGGTTTTCGGATAAATATTCCCCATTTCTCTTTGGCATTGTTTCGTTGGTTATTGTAATACCATCATTCAGGAATTCTGTTTCTAAAGCTACGTTATCCTTTTCTACAACTACTTCGCATTCACTCGCCATCTCTTGAATTATTTCTTCCTCCCATTGGCTTTCCATAACAAATCCGTCTTCGAACTCAATTATCACATTATTTGCAGTAAGTTGTGGTAATGTTTGTTGTTTGCGTGTGTCTTTACATATTTTGTGCCAAATCAGATACAAATTTTTATCATCACTTTCTCCTGTCCAATTTTCAGATCCCATATGATCCTTAAATTTGTTCAGGGTTCCAGGATTAATATAGGATTCTAGAAATTGAAGATGACCTATAATTTCATGATTTTCAGAAGCTTCTGAAATAACATTCTGTGCCACAGTTTCGGGTTTCTTCCCTTTTAATAATAATTTACTGTAATTGATATTAGAAGAATCAAAGGGGAATAAGCCACAACTTTTGAATGCATTTTTCAATATGACTTCCAAGTTCGTCATGGAATTTATAGCTTCATTCAAAACTGACGCGAAATTTTCTCTGTTCAACGCCTTATAAGACCCGTTTTTCATCTTAAATTTCTGAACTTCCTTTTTCCAACTGAGCTTTAAAGGTCTGAATAATCCGACATCTAAAGGTTGTAAAATATGCGTTGAATTAGGAAGCAAACTTATTAGTACTATTTGCTTTTCTCGACAGAACTCAGTTAAAGGTAACGTTACATGGGATTTGTGCCCGTCAAGATACAAGATCACCGGAAATTCGATTTTTTCTGCGATAAGGAAAGGGTAGAAAAGGTTCGTTACATACTCGTAAAAAGATTCCGAAGTCATCCAACCACTAGGTGGCTTTCCTATTGCCCATGTCTTTGGAACCTTCAGCACGATATGTTTTGGTATCCTTTCATAGGGATACATTACCATTGGTGGTGCTAATGTACCAGCAGCATTTCCAGTAATCAGTACAGTTAAGCAGTCCTTATCATCGCCGGATCTATCGTGAACAAATTTACTACCTTTTTTAACCAATACGGAAGAACCCTTGGGAGACAAAAAAAATGCGGACTCGTCAGTGTTGAATATTCTTTTTGGATCCTGAATGTTTAGCCCTACCGAAGAAAAATATTCGTCTATTTCATGAAACCAGTTCTTGATTTTTTCTTTCGTGATCGATGCTCGAGATGAAGAAATATTTTGGGTCATTCGTTCACTAATCACCGGATGTCGTTTTAGAAATCCTTCAAGCCAATGACGTCCAGGCCGACCATCAGAAAATTTATTAGGTCGTTTTAATTTATTTACTAATAAGGCTACACTATCTAATAACTGGTCTTTTGTTATTGGAAATCCCATTGCACCCATGTTAATCATCCATTTTTCCAAAAGGTTTTCTTCATCTGAAGTCAAAACAGTTGCAGCCCCACTCTTACATTCCTCTGGATAAATTCCTTTTATTTTTCCAATTAAGGTGGTTCGTGGTACATTGAACTCCTTGGAGGCAGTAGCACATGGTACTCCTTGTTTAATGGCGTCTAAAGCCCGCTGTAAATTCTCCTTTGAATATGTGGTATATTTTTTCTTGTTGGTTGACATGCTGGAAAAGACTAAAATATACAAACATTGTTGGTCAACTCCTTAAGATTAAAATACCTAGTAATTTAAATGAGAGACCATGAACCTGATTCAGACATCAACTGAACATTGATTCGACACTCTTGTCGGATTTATGACCAGAACCTGAAAATGAGTTTTCTAATTCAGAAAAGGATATAAAACGTAAATTTATGAGGAAAGAAAGAGAGAACACCATTTTTTTTTCATATGCTATAAGTACATAATTTCGACACTGGTGTCTGATTTAGATCCCTCTAGTTTTTAGATGTACTTAAATCAGACACCGCAAAAACTATTAAACAATTTGCAAATATCCACTAATTTTCATTATAACTTGCATATTTAACCTATATTAAATCTATAATAACAAATTTGAGGTCATACTTTTTAATAGTACAATATAAATGATGTTAAAAAGTTCATAAAAACTCGCTTACCTTATAACAAAACTGGCTTCACTTTCACGTTGCTAGACAAACACGTGAACGACTCAATTTTAGGTTATGTTAAATGGTCATTATGGCCGATAAAAAAGCAAACTATATCAAAATTGGTCAAAAATAGGTTTCTACTTAGGCTAACGTAAAAATAGTTCACCTTAAATTAGAGAATTTCTTATTTTTGTCATTTTAGTGAAATTCTGTCGGAATTATGGACTATGTCTGATTTTGGGACAGTTACCTAAAGTGATATAAAAATAAAATGTTATAATTATGCAGACGCATTGAGTATTGATAATATTTTTAATCGGAAACAGTGTGGTATGCGATTAAATGGAAATTAAATTAAACATTTTTATATAACTGATAACTCTTGTGAGGAAGGGTGAAGGGAAAAGAGACAGATGAAGCAGAAAAACAAACTAATTTTATTGGAAATTAAAACAAAATTGTAATTTTGACAGTTAATGTTTTTTTAGAACATTAGAACGTTATAGCACAAGCATCACGAAGGAGAAGCAGGAAACATACAAAGGTAAATATTTTTTAAAAACATATTATGTGCAGTGACTTTCTAACATAATTAAATCTTTTCAGAATCAAGGTCCGTCATATACACAGCAAAATTTAAATAGTTATATATGTTTAGAGCTTTCAAAATTAAAGATATATGATGTCATGAGAATGTGTATTATTGGTTGCCTATGGTATAATTAAATAAATAAGAGCAGAGAATTCTAATAATGGCAATAATCCCTAGAGTCAATTTAGAGGTTAACTATTCTCTGGGTTAACTGAAAAAAAAATAAATGTTCTGGAGTCAAATAGTATTTTATTTATAAAATTACCCAGAACATCACAATTAAATAATTTTGTATTTTAATTTAAAGACTCTAAGGAACGTTTTTAGGCTATTGTGAGTTTACTGAAGAAGTTTAAGGTACTAGAAAAAAACATTTTCCCCCAGCTCAACCTTTTTACCACCCCTTAAATGATATTGCAATTCAATTTTAAGACCTTAATAAGGAAATTTTTTCAAAATATTTCGAATTTATTCATGAACTTTAAGTCGGTCAAAATAAAGCATGGAAGTTGGTATTATATGAAATGGTTTATTATAAAATATAAATGTATGATAAAATAAAATAAATCAAACTGTAGTCCCTCTGGTATTCTAGTGACTGCGAACTGCGGGTGGCTGGTGAAAAACTGCTACTGAAGGTGAACGTAGGTATACCTACACCTACCTATAAGCAAAAAAATGTATGAGTAATGAATTTAACAACACCGTCAAATTAAAGATTGGGTAAAATACATTACATATTATTATTTAAAACAATATCTACCCAAAGTGAATATAATTTAAAATGTTAATAATCTTATTTTAATTATTAAGTCTAGGAAAGAAATGTGTCTTTCCATTTTAAAAAAGGTACATATCAAGTACATACCTTTTTGTTCTATTGTAACTATAGTAACTAACTAGACACCATTTTGCCACCGTTGCTGCTCGAACTACTAGAAATCACCTTCTTGGCAATAATCTGTAAAAATATACAGATAAAAATTTACGTTACACATTATTCATTACGAATTAAAATTATAATTCATTTTAAATTATTTGGGAGCCAACTACTGTCAAAACTATAACACCGAGACAGAGACCGAGGTACTTATTTTTACTTATCGCTAATATATTCCACTATTAATATTTTCACATCTATATCTTCATATAATTGCGGATCCAATCGGAGTTGGATTATCCAGCTGCCAGTACTTGTCCTCCACTTTGAGAGGATCTGAAAGTATTTTATTACAAATTAATTAATTACCTTGCACCTAAATACATGCTAATCAAGTTATAAGTAAACCGAAACATGATATCCATATAACTGAATATTTTGTTTTTTTAATACATAACTACAAAAGATAAGCACAAATGAAATTTCCTACCTTCTGGCTTCCTTTTTAAATAATCCTCCCATTTTCAATTCACAATAATTCACTCCGTTCAGTAACGAACAATAATTCACTCTGTCTGATATACTTACGAAAATATGAGAATACTGGCAACAGTGTTTTTTACTTTCCGAAGACGTTCGGACGCAATCGTAATATTAGGAAAAAGTAGAATTAGGAAATTCTTGGCGCTCCCGAAATAAATTGAAATCCGATTTTAATGTGACCTACTCGATAAAAAGCCGAGCGAATTTTCTACATACATTGCATGTAGCAAATTTATACGACGCCGTATATACCGGGTGCGTCTCAAAAGTGGCTCACCCCTATTACTTTTTTATTTTTTTAGATAAAAAAATGAGATTTGGTATGTTAGTACACGACATAAATTAGGATTGATTGACGTATTCAATTGTTTTCTGTCACTTCCTGTTTCACCGGAAATGACTACAATTTTAGATTTTTAAATAGCACCCTCGGTATTTTTTTACTTTATTCGATAGAAAATGACATTCTAAATAGAATGACGTATCATATGTCAACTTTTGACTTATTCGCTTGAAAAAAAATTGTATTTTAAATTTCAATCTAGAGTGCCATGGCTGTGTTAAAAACACGAATTTTTAATCAAGGAGTGTCTTGCCCTGGCCGGTTAAAAGATGCCCATATCGTATTTTTGATCATATCTCTTTTTTTGAAATGGAACGAGGGTGGATCATTAGCACATTTCGAAAAAAAAAAATTACGAATAATTTTTTGATACCACACACTTGGTACTTCGAGTCAAATTGTCGTTATGAACCGCATGTTACAATTTCAAATAAACCATATGGGAAAATGTCATAAGTTGACATGTGATATGTCATTCTATTCAGAGTGTCATTTTCTACCGAATAAAGTAAAAAAATACCGAGGGTGCGATTTCAAAATCAAAAGTTGCAGTCATTTCCGGCGAAACCGGAAGTGACCGAAAACAATTGAATATGTCAATCAATCCTAATTTTTGTCAGAGATACCAAATCTCGTTGTTTTATCTGAAAAAATAAAAAAGTTATAGGGGTGATCCACTTTTGAGACGCACCTGGTATATTTATCCGTTGCGTATCTGAGAGATAAAATTTTACGACCTACACCGACAATGCTTCGAAATAAACTAAATCAGGCGATCAAGCGAATCGCTCGCCGCTTACTACTTGTCGTTCATTACCGAAAGAATATGCGCCCTGCGCATGCAGCTTACTGCTTGGCACTTGGCGTTTTACAACGTGCGACGGACAAAAAACCGTATTTTTAAATACGAGCGATATTTCGCTCGAGTGATCACTCGATTATTGCAATCGCTTGATACTCGAGTACTCGATTATTGAAATTAATCGGTTTTTTCCATCACTAGTAATTCCCAATTTCCTAGCTCCAAGAAGTCTCTAAAAATGTTGCTTTTCATTTCTTCGCTAATATGTTCGTTACATTTAAACCTGCAGTTGTGATCAAAGTGCTTTACGGATTTTGCTGGATGTACAGCTGGTTCCAATAAAATTGAATACGATTTAAAACACATTTTTAATATTTCGGGCAGTATATTCTATGATACCAGTCCCCATTTCTCTACTCATGTCATACTGACGTTCTGAAAAATTTATTTGCCACTTTGTCAAAAGCAAAGTTTTTTATACAATGTCACAATAACCTTAACATCGCTTAACATGTAAAAAATACTTGACACATAAATATACACTGCCCAAATATTCGAAAAAAATGTGTAAAGAGTCGTATTCGTTTTTTTGGAACCAGCTGTACCTTATTCCCTGCGGTCAACGTATTCTTTTCCCGTGTTCCTTGCAGTTTTCATTTTCGAACGTTTCCACTCAGCTTGACGTTTCTCTCTTTTCTTTCCTTTTGGCGGATTTGAACCTTCAACGGTACTTATAAAATTCGATTTCTATAGCACATTTCTATATGGACACTGAATAAGTATTACCTGAACTTTCGGAAGTACTATCCTGGCTATCTGATGAGATGGAATAATTTCGATCTTCATCCGAGTCTGGAAATAAAACGATCACGATTTAGAAAAGATTTATCAACAGTAACAAAAGGGTTACAATTTACAGTAAAATAAAGTTATTTAAAAATTATAATGAAGTGTTTATTATTAAGCAACCGGTTTTCATTTACCGTCCGAGTAACTGAGGTTAAAATTTCCATGATCCGGAATATTGGACATTTTCCTCTATCTTATTAATATTAACAGTTGTACATTTAAACACACGAAGATCCAAACCCGTTACAACCCAAACTTAAACCCGTATTTAACAGAGCACTGTAACTAATTGAGCTTGAAATTCTTCTGGAATGCTCACACATATAGTCTGTCCAACGAGAAGATCCTTGACAGTGATAGATGTGTCTGTCATTTTAATTTCAAGTAGTTTATTTTATTTTACAAAGAAATAAGTTGGTACAACTGGAACTCATAGCAGGAAATTAATATATGTATTTAAAATTTGACTGACAAGTAACTTCAAAATATTGTGAGAAAAACTGTATAAAACTGAAAAAATGTAATCAAGTTATTTTATTTAATAAAAAACGGTATGTGTTAATACAAAACAAACAAAAACAAGACACCACATACCAAAAAATATAAAAAAGAACTATTTCTTACTTTCAAGCTTTATGAAACTTCCCGCATTTATGATTATATTTATCAATATATCTTATGTACAAATACAAATTTGTAATATTCCGCAGGAATAAATAAAACAACATAAATAAAACAAACTATTTTATTAATAATAACACTTACCAAATATTATACCTCACAGGTTGATTAATTAACTTTAATCTTAATTTTTTTAAATCAGTACCTTTTGACATTATTTTTCTGCAGTACTAAAATCCATTATTTATCTATCATGTGATGTCGATATTTTACAGCTACTCTAGTTTTTAGTATGTGTTTAGTATGGTCCTTCTACCATATTCGAGATGCTATTATCTACGACGAGATAGTATACGAACTTTATTGATAGTAACTTTATTGGTGTATCTGTATAAGACTTTCTGCCTGAGCAGCGAGTATTAACCATAAACTGTGCTCTGGGTTCTACAGTTAATTTTCACTCGATTTTTCCTCCAACCTTCTTGATCTTGACTTCAAAAGACACAAAACACACGTAATAACACGAATCAAAATGCATCATCTTCCAAAACGCAGGGTATTTGACAAAAGTTGTCACAAAATTATAACCTATAATTTGGCAAGACTTTGACAAACGTCAAAAATCTAAAGGCGAGTTCATACGCATCGGCGTCCGTTTGTCGTTTATCGTTCCGTCAAACCAATAAAATTGAAATACGATCTGTCATTTTTGAAATAAACCAATAAAACTGGTTAAAAACAAGAAGTGACGACGCATGACGAATTTATGTTTAAACCCATCCATAGTTAACTTAAAAATTATTAAAAACTTTTTTTAGTAAAATAAATAGATTGGTATGGGACGTCATCTGCTTTTCTTCTGTCATCGTCTGTCGAAATCTTACCTGAGAAAAAAAACAGAGTATATATACCTGTTACAATCTGACATTAAAAAAATTGGCAGCCAAAGGATACAAGTGCATACTCTTTGGAAGAGAAACGATATAAGTGCGTTTGGATTCCATGGCTACAAACCGACGCGACCGAGCGAAAATATTAAAGAGTTAAGTGAAATACCCACAGATGGCGACACTTATTAAGATTTACTTATATCCTTTGGCCACCAAAATCAATGAGTTGTAAACTATTTATTTGTGCGCTTACCTCCAAATTTAAAAAAATGTAGGGTAGACCGGGGTCCAAAGTAACATTTTTATTTCAAAAACCAATTTCTGGAGAACTATAATAGATATGAACAAATTTGGTTGTTCCTGCGTTATTTGTATCTTTTATAAATTTAAAAACATGTCATTAAGATTTTTAAATAAATATGGTTACTAGTTATTAACCAAAAATTATAATGGTGCAAAATGTTACTACCGCCCTCAACTCCGGGGCGGTTGTAACACTAAGCGGGGTCGATAGTAACAGTGTGAAAAAAACTAAGCAATGTAACAACAATATAGGTTTATTTAATGCAGGTACAAAAGTCGTAAAAAATCGTGTACCTATAGACAACAAAAAAAAACTGTATTCCCCTATAAATATTAAAAGAAAAACTTGTTTTTTTTTACTGAAATAGTAAACTTAACCTAATGAACAAATAAATTCTATTTTTTTTCATTCTGAGTCACAATTTTGACAAACATATAAAGCTTCTTGTTTTGTGCATTCTTCATGTGACCAATGCTTGCATCAATACATTGCACCCAATCCTTCCCTGGCTTACTTGAAGCGTATGGTTCGAAGCATACAAGACAAAAACATTTATCAACATCTTCTTCGTCGCTCTTTTCTTTGTTTTTCTTCTGTGTCTGTGGCTTTTTTCCTTTAGGAGGATTTTTTGGTTTTATTTTAGGTTCACAAAATTTTCTTTTAACAGTTTTTTTCTTCTTTTCTTCGTATTCTGCCCTAATGTCTTCCTTCTCATCCGTGTATATAGCCGATTTTCTTTTCTTTTTTCCTTTATTTTCTTGTTTTCTGGGTGGAGCTTTGGGGAAAGGTCTAACTGGTCTCCGGTGCAAATTTCTGAAGTCTTGAAGTTGACGCTACAGGTTCATCTGAAACTGGTATCGGTGACGGAGTTTCATCATGTTTATTTCTCGCTTCGTCAGGTGTTGTAGGGTCATTTTCTACATTTTCTGGATTTGCCTTATTAACTTCATCTTTTCTTAGCTCAGCCGCTGCTGCAGGCCGATCTGTCACGTAAGAGGGTGCATAGTCTATGGCGGTAAATATATGTCTATTAAAGAGAAATATTCCCGTACACCTGAAGCCTGCCTGAATTTTACTTGATGTCAGCGCCATCGGAAAGGCTGTAGTTACTATGGATGGGATATTATATATCGTCATTGTTTTCCTTGGGTTACTTCGCATCCATGCATCGCAGCCAGAATTAATTGCCTTCTTTAAAGGCCCATACACAGAACGGTCTAGCGGTTGTAAGTTGTGTGAACAATGAGGCGGGAAAGACAATACCACTATACCGTTCTCAGAGCAGTAGTCCAGGGCTTGAATAGAAATATGAGACGCATGATTGTCTAGAAGTAGGAGAACTCTGTGATCGATAGTTGCAGATGCATATTTTTGGAAATGTAAATATTTTAGAAATTCAGTGTCTTGCATCCAACCACTTGCGTTTCCGGTGCCAGTGCTTCCAATTGGCCCATCCCGAATAAAATGTTCCTAGTACCGAATCCTGGGTTATATAAACATTGAAGGTACAAAATTTCCAACAACATTTACCACGCAGGTTAACGTGACCAATGTTCTACGTTTGGCGGACGTCAATTCTCCCACTTGTCGTGTTCCCTTTTTAGTCACAATTCTATTTGGTTTTTGGACTGTGGTGATGCCCGTCTCATCCACGTTGTATATGTCTTTAGGTTCGAATTTGTATTTGTCCATAACTTTTTCCAGATTATTAAAAAAACAATTAACATTGGCTTCGTTAAAACTAGTCGCACGAGATAAACTAGTTAGTTGTGCGCACCGTAACGAGAGCTGTGGATGTCGTTTCATAAATCTGCTGAACCAGTCCTCGGTAGCCATCTGCTTATCTTTTCACTGCGGTGGCATTGCTAACTTATATTTGTCGGCTAATTCATATGCAAACCTTCTAATTTCTTTAGGGCAAAAACCATAATAAATGTTGGCTGCCTTCACGATATAATCTTCCATAATCTGTTCCTGCTCTTGGGTAAAAACTTTGTTCCAGGCTCTATAACCCATGGAAACTGAATTATTGTTTTTCTCTGCACCCAGTGCCTCTAGTGCCTCCTTTTTATTTTTGAACCGTTCTAAAGAAACATGACACAAGTCGTGTTTCTGTGACGCTGCCCGAGTAGACATACCTTTTATATATCGGCGTATGCATCTTCATAAGTTGCGATGTCTTTGGAGCCTTGGTTAGTTTTTCTAACTTTCGAACGAGGCATTCTAGAAAAGAAAAAAATCCAATTTACAAACCAAAATATAGAAAAAAAATAGCGGGGTCGGTTGTAACACTTTACAATCGCCCTCAGGCCCTAATGTTACAACCGCCCCCGACCATACGTTTTTAAAAAATTTAAATTTTTCGTAATGAACCGCGGCAAAAAAAGACATTCACTAGTGCTTACATTATACCCATATATCTAAACCAATCATACATTCAAGTTGAACTACATACCTGCAGCTAGAATGTTTGGTGTTTGACTTAAAACTCACTGGAAAAATATTACTAAAGAGCACCGAAAACAAATATGGGCTTGTGTACACTACAGACTGAGGCCGATGTCGCCAATATGCAGAGATATCGTAGCCGGCAGTGTTGCCAGTTCTCCTACCTAGCAAAAGTGCCATGATTATTCGCATAGTTTTAGTTATTTGAGTTGTTACTTTCGCCGCCTGTTACTTTCGACCCCGGTCTACCCTACTTGTACCCTTTGGCTTCTAAGGTCCTCAAATGTACTAACATAAATTGGATATTTCGCCACCGCGAAATGTAAATCTCTAAAACAAAAAGTTATTTTTTTTGCAAATGGCCACTGGCGTGAAATCTAAACGGAAACTAGCTTCTTAGTGGCTTTTTACTTGTAAGGAAATTTGCCTAACCAATAATGTAGGTTTGTCCAAGGATGGGATCCACACTGTTCCACGCTGTTTTCAATAATTCAAAAAAACACCTTGTCTAAAGGCCGCAAAAAGTGTTTTGTGTGGCTTGGTAAATTGAACAAAACTATGTCATTTTATTCGGCATACTCAAGGATTTCTATCTATCTATGATGTGATGAGTGTCCATCTATCAGAAGAACTTTTCCTGGTGGTTTTCTAGACACAAGTTGTGTTTTAGCCAATCGAAAAAAATATCTGAATTGATGTAAGCCGATTTAGGATTCATATAAAGGAACGATCCTGGTGGTATGCTGTCTTCGTATTCGGGTTTCTTATTCTTGACTTTCATAATAAATACTGAAGGCGGAATATTTTGCTCGGTATTGCAACATACAATAATTAATGTTTCAGCGCTCTCTACAGAAGTTATCGAGGGGACAAGTTTTGATCCCTTAACTTCAATAATATGGCAGGTATTATTTCGCAATTGCAATCTAGTTTCATCTATGTTGTATACAGGGTAGTCCGAACTGTATTCCGGAAACTTCGACAGCATATTCTGCAGATAAAAATAAGTCAATTGTGATTTTCTTGGGTATAGTTTTTTTTATTAAAAATTAAATGATTTCTGTGTGTTTTAAATCATTTATTGCCGATAAAAATAAATAAACATTTTTGTATAAATGTATGTCCTAAAATGCATAGTTTCGGAGATACAGGGTGTAGAAATTTCATTTTATTTCGATTTTTTCCAAATAATTTTTGAATTACCGTCAATATTTGAATGAAAATTTGTGTCTGGGAGTTTTTTGACATGAGAAATTTGATTTTGATGTCAATATGACTCCTATTTGTAGGGGGCGCCACCTACATGTGTTTTAATTGTTATGAAGAGTAATAACTTTTTGTCCGTACTTGTATAAAACTAGGTAGAGAAAAAATATACATTTCCGTGACTTTTTACGTAAAAATGTCTCTTAGTGAAAATTGCTACGAGCAAACGTTCTCAAGATATTTAGAATGGTAATAGTTAATACATTTTATTATTGACAATAAATAAAAACGTTGAGTAGATAGTTATTTGACTGAAATAATACATTTGGGAAATTTTTATTTTTTTAAATTAACCATAAATTTTTGTGCGAAAAAACGATAATTAAACAGTTTCGGTTGAACTTCTGGCACAAAATCATTTCAAATTTATGATTTCAGTCTAACAACTATTTAGTCAACGTATTTAATTTATGTCAATGATGACAGGTATTGATAATTTCGATTCCAAATATCTCGAGAGCGATTTTTACCAAGAAACATTTTTGACGTAAAAAATCATGGAAATGTATATTTTCTCACACAATAATTTTATGCAAGTACGGACGAAAAGTTATTACTATTGAAAACACTTAAAACACATGTAGGTGGCCCTTACAAATAGGAGTCATATTGTTACATATAGGAATCATATTGACAATATATCCGTCGGCGTCGGATACATTTTCTGAGTTGGAAAAAATTATAACGTCACTTAAAACGGCAACTTTTGGTTCGGGTTTTTGAAGTGGTTGATTAACACCAAGAATCTTAGGGCTTGTTTTTAGCTAGCATCGAAGAAGCATCATCTTCATTCTCAGTTTTAAAGTTCACCACATTGTTTAGTATTTTATAACTTATATCACAACCAAAACAAATTAAGGCTGTTTTATACTTATCCAGTAGCGGGTGCCAATCTGACTCCGAGTAAACACTTCCATGACACCACTACCATGCCAATGCTGGATAATAGTGTATTGCATACATTATAGGCGAGTTTATTTATTACAAAGTAGAAAACAAATTTCTTGCAGTATAGATATATAATAAAATTATATAAGGATTCTTGCCACTTAACTGCTTATATAGAAATTTAATTCTACGCTGTGTTTGTCATAATGTGGATCAACCTGCTCTCACTACTGGTTTCGGAGACCTACTCCATCATCAGGTGAGCTTGGGCAGATCCACAAAATGACAACCACAGCGCAGAGATAGTTAATTCCGACTTGTCGGAAAGTGTCGGTTAGATATTAAGTCCCGAACGGGAGATAGCGGTCAGCGTGCAATGGTAGTACTTTCGTACCACCGGGGCGCAACTATCGATAGTAAAAGGATGGTAAAAGGCTTTTTTTCAGGCAAGCCAAATTATAAAATAGAAAACAAATTTCTTGCAGTATAGGTATATAATAAAATTATATAAGGATTCATGCCACTTAACTGCTTATATAGAAATTTAATTCTACGCTGTATTTGTCATAATGTGGATCAACCTGCTCTCACTACCGGTTTCGGAGACCTACTCCATCATCAGGTGAGCTTGGGCAGATCCACAAAATGACAACCACAGCGCAGAGATAGTTAATTCCGACTTGTCGGAAAGTGTCGGTTAGATATTAAGTCCCGAACGGGAGATAGCGGCCAGCGTGCAATGGTAGTACTTTCGTACCACCGCACAGTGCTTCGTCCCATGGACAAAAATCGAAAAAAAAGTTAAAATTTACTAATATCTGAATATAATTTTATACTTATAGCAATGTTCAACCATCCTGTATATTATTTTTCATAAACAGCGTTTTTTGTTAGCAAATATTTTCACTAAAAATAAATTTTACGATCAATATCTTATCAGTGAAAAGAATAACATTCATAGTAGTTCTGTATATTATGGAGTTAAACGGTAAGTACTTAATTGAAAGCCACTATGGATATTGTTAAACAAGGTATGTACTTTAAATTTATTTCTAAACAAGTTCGTGATTCTTTAGTTTTTATATATTTTTTAAGATGATTCTTAAATGGGTATAAAAATTTTACGTTTTCAAACTTCAAAAAGGCATTAAAAAAAACATATCAAAACATATCGTATTTATTGAATATTTTTGTTGTCATATTCATACACTTTTAATTTTTGTATAGTTCACCTGCGTCTGCTTGCGACGAACTATATTTTATAATACTTTTCAGATGGAGTAAAATTGATAAGCAATGCCGATCTGGTTAATACTTGGCTTGATCATAAGCACAAGAACTCAAAATTATTTGTATTTCAAAAAATGTGTTCTTTATTAGATATTGATGAACCTTCCAGTCAAATGGGACACCACTTGTGCCTGAAAAAGCCCACTATGTTGGAGCGAAACGTCGCATAAAAAAAAGTTTCCATCTTTCAATTTATTATAAAACCTCATACCCAAGAAAAGGAAAAAATAATATATGGATATGGTCTATTAAAGAGGTAACTATTAACATCCGAACCCCTCATACCAACAAAATGAACAGTAACAACGCGAAAAAGTAACATATTAGAAAATAATGTACAGAATTATCTTATATGTGAGGATACTTCATCTACCTGTGATTTGGATACTATAAATTTGGAAGATTCTGTCAGCAGTGATTCTTCTGAATCAGAGTAGTTTCGATCTATGCATTTTGTTGTCCTAAAGTAAATTTATAGTATCTTAAGTTCTTTTTAATTAAATATAACATTAATGTTTCTTTTTCATTAAAGAAAAACATGTTTATCTTATATTAGGCTTATATTGTAGAAATCATGTTCTAATGTTATTTCAATTCATTTTTATAACAGGGATTTATTTAATACTTACACCGTTTTCATACTATAAATTATTATTTCCTTAGATGGAACATAGCTCCAACATTTTTATTATTTATAAGATTTTTTTTCATAAACGTGGGACTAAGAACATCATCATTTAGTACAATGAGAGTACTCATCATTTGTGTCAAATAAACCTAGTTTGAATAAACTGCCTACAATAAAAGAGAAGTTTTGCATTTTTGTCTTCTGGAGCCATATGTTCGAAGCACTGTGCACCGGGGCGCAACTATCGATAGTAAAAGGATGGTAGAAGGCTTTTTTTCAGGCAAGCCAAATTATAAAATAGAAAACAAATTTCTTG